AAGATACTGGAACATTTTCTATCATTTCCTTGAGTATTTTCTTCCAACCATCATCTAGATTTCCCATTAGATGCATATTGGAATTTCTGGATTTATTTGCTATGTTACTTAAATTTTCTCTTTATCCTCTCTCCTGAAAAAAAACTGGGCCCAGTTTTTTCTTTCACTAACTCACCCTTCAGTTCAGCTTGCATCCCTACAGCATGGTATTGAAGAGACTAAGTTCAAATCCTGGTTCAGTCACTTTTATTGTGTTGCTTTGGGTAAGTTGAATCTTTATATTCTTCAGTTTTCTCATGTGTAAAATGGATGTGCTAATAATATTGCCTGCTCTTTAAGATTATAAATATTAAATATGTAATGCTTTCTTAGTCCATTTGGGTGGCTGTAACAAGATACCTTAGACTAGGTAATTTGTAAACAACAGAAATTTATGGCTCACAATTTCAGAGGCTGGAAAAACCAGTATCAAGGCACCATCAGCATGTTGGGCAAATGATCTTTCTATCTTTCCTCATATGGCAGAAGGACAAGCAAGCTCCTTTAAGCCTTGTTTATAAAGCATAACCTATTTAGAAGGGTTCTGCACTCATGATCTAATCATCTTCTAAGGGCAACACCTCTTAATACCATTGCTATTAGGGTTAGGTTTCAACATTTGAATTTTTTTGGGGGGGGGACACAAACATTCAGACCATATAAAATTCTTAGAATATTTGTAGCATAAATACCTTATTATTCAATTACTCATTTTTAAAATTTCAATAAACATTCTTAATTAGTTCTCTAACTGGTTTGCTTTTAAAATAACCTTGCTGTTTTATGAATGCATGCTCCCATATTATGCCTCTAAGGATTACAAAAATGTATATTATAAAACTTTTTGCTGAGTGCACTGGTGCACACCTGTAATATCAGTGGCTAGGAAGCCTAAGTCATGAGGATTGTGAGTTCAAAGCCAGCCTCAGCAATTTAGTGAAGTCCTAAGCAACTTAGTGAGACACTGTCTCAAAATAAAAAATAAAAAAGGGCTAGGGATGTGGTTCAGTGGTGAAGCACCTATGGGTTCAATCCCTAGTATCAAAACAAACAAAAAACTTTTTTTCTCTTATAATAATATTAACTTTGGGTGTTGATTCTGTTTGTTGACTGAAGTGTCTCTCTTTCACAGTAATAGATTTCCACAAATGAATGGTGCTTTGGGGTTGGTTGTCCACTCATCCTAGTGTTGAAACTCTTATTTGTCTATGTATGGTGTCAATTCTGACTTACAAGTGCTTGCTTTGCTGATTGTGATGGGAGGAGGTCTGGAAAGTACATGGTGCAGGGAAGAGGATACTAGTAATCTTCTGTGTGTGCATGTGGTCCCATTTCCCCCAGCAATTGGTGATCGACTCTCTGGGATGCTATTTTTCTCATTGGCCCAAGCACCCATACTCAAAACAGTATGTGTCAGGGCTGAAGGTAGTCATGTCCACCCGTGAGGCTTACATTCCTTCATATCACTCATCACTATATGACTAAAATAATCTTAGTTATTGATATTTATTTACAAGTTTATTGTAATCCATGAAGGCAGGGACTTTTTTTTTTTTTTTAAACCAAGGTTTTTGTCTCTAGGGCCTAGTACTGGTCTTACACAGAATGATTCACATATTTGTTGAATGAATGAAAGAGTGAATTAATATTGTTCTTTCATTACTCACCATATGAATGACACCCTCTCTGAGCTTAACCGGCCCCAGATGATCCCAGTCCCACCCTTTATCGTCTGGTTTGTGGTTCTACTGGAAATCCAGTCCTGCCTGCTTTATAAAATCCACAAAGTCCATGGGGTCACTAGACCACTGATGTCGTTAGTCTCTTACAACTCCAACAAATGACTAAAAATCTACTTTCTGCTATGTGGTGATAGAGATGTATGGCATGTGCTTTTGGAAATTCCACAAGTGGTATTTCTGATTTCTACTGTGTGGTTTTAGTTGGTGCAGACATTGACACCAATTAACATTGAATGTAATAGGGAGAGTATAACCTCCTTTGGGATTCTTTTTTTTTTTTTTTATAAATATCTTTAAGTTATAAAAATATTTCAAACATATAAAGATACTGAAGATAATATAATGAATAACCATTACTAATCATCCAGATTTAACAATTCAAACATTAAAAAAAAAAAAAAAAGGTATCACTCTTGGAGGCTCCTTTGTGCCTTCCCATTCCACTCCTCCTCCTCCCTTCTCACTAGTTGATCTGTATGCTTCCTGCCCATGTTGGTGCTTTTTATAGTTTATTGCCTATTTATCCCAGGCATAAGTAGCATATCATATTGTTCTGCAGGCTTTCAAACTGCTCTTAGATGGCATCAGTTCCCTCAGTCCTTCAGATTACCCCAAGAGGAAAACATCACTTTGGTTGAATCTTGAATGCTCTTTTTGGCATTTGCTATTCTCTCTCCTAACAAACTAAGAGCAGGTCTTAGGCTAGAAGGGGGGGGAATGGGGAGGGGGGGGGGAGGGGGGGGAATGGGGAGGGGGGGGGGATGGGGAGGTGGGGGGAGGGGAGGAAATGATAGCTAGAATTTAATAATACTGCTTTATTTTCTATTATATTTATTTTAAAGTTTTCCTTCCTTTTCTTAAAGCGAGTATTGCTAGCTTTCCATTTATAGTAGTGACTTATGTTTTCTTTTAAATTAAAGGTAGGGAAAAATAAAAGTGTTGATTTAAAGAAAAAATGTTAAGTAGTAATAGTTACAGGCAGAATACTGACCAGGCCAAAAAAAAAAAAAAAATCAGGAAGTTTTTACTCATGTAGCTGAAGGTTGTTCTACACTTGATCTAAAGGATAAAGTTCAAGTTCCTAAATGAGGCATGCAAAGCTCCACCTGATCTGACCTCTGTTTTCTTCCCAAGTTCCAAGAATCACAATCATTACTTCACCTCCAGCTGTACAAACTGCTTGGAGCTTCCGCCTCCTCACCGGTGGCACTAGTTGGAGGTATATTTGCTATGCTAATCATTCCTTTTATGGTATTTCCTGTAGCCAGCTCCCCTACCTTCACCTGGCTCTTACCTCAGGTGCTCTAAGGAAGCCCTCTCCATTTAGTACCTATCACGGTGCTGCATGTATAATTCTCTAATCCCATCCTAAACCCAAGAGTTGAATTTAGTGCCAGTGTCACTGTATATATCTTCATGGCCTGAACAGGTTACTAATGTTAAAAAAACTAACCTGCTTGCGATGTGGCAGATAAACTCTGGGGTATAAAATGAAGGCTCTCTGTAGTGGGAAAAAAGTTTATCTCACATTTCCATGTTTGACCTTTTAAAAATAGTTCTGTTTATGTGTCAATACCTGATCTTAAATTTTCTTTCACACTGAGACAATACATTAACCTATTGTTCAGATAAAGGGTAAAGATGAATAATAATAAAGAGGACACAGAAGGGGAAAATGATAATGATGGAAAATAATGGTTTTTTATGTCATTCTGACATGGTGGTTTATTGCATAGTACTTATTACACCGACTTGGATGGTTTCATTAGAAAATGAGAAGTCAAAGAGCGCAATTTTAATATAACACGTTTGACATATAACATTTAAAGATAAAAGCTCCCAAACTATTACAGCTGTTGAGATGTTGCAACAATTTTCAAGTTTCATGGTCTATGATCCACAGTGCATACGAAAAATACAGTATTACTATCAAAAACAGTACAGCAAACACTGAATGCTGTTTAAAAGTCCTTTAATGTTAGCAGTCTTGATGAACTAACTGCATTAGGTTCCATTCATTCATTCAAAAAAATCTTATTCTGAAGCTCATCTTCACGCTACGTAATTAAAACCCTTCACTGCATTTGGCCACAGGTAGATTCCCGTCTTAACAGAGATTCAAAGAATACTTTATGAGCTACTGGTATATTTGTAGGGGAAAGTTCAGATTTTGCGTTTTCTTCCAAGATATTTCGCTTGGCTAAGGCCCCGGAAAGCGCGGGGAAGCTGCGGGAAGTGACTTCACTTTCTTGATGACAGAATGTCATGTTTACCACTGTAAACAACCACCGTTTAAATGAGAAAGCAGTCGAAGTGAAATAGCTCTCACGCGTACATCTTCCATGTTACATCTTATCCACCAGCCAAACTTTCTCCATCAATCTGGATAGGTCAGCTCCGAAATGCCGCCTGAAGGAGAAATACTGTCCTCATGTGGCTTACCCAAAGCTGGCCTTGGAGTTACCTGAAACATTCTAGCTACTGCACCCAGAGAATAAGCTTCTCGTTTCAATTCGGTCATTTCCGTGGGGAATTGCGGCACGAGCAGGTCTTGGGTGTGGTGATGTCAAGAGGGAGCTCAGATCCCCTAGCTTTCCCGCTACTGGCAAACCTTCCCAGCCCCGAAGCAGCGAGTGACCGGCGTCCTGGGCCTGTCATCCAGCTTCCCGGGGGCCACCGGTGGCCCCGACCCCGCGTCCGCTACACACTGCCGAAGCGCCAGGCTGCGCGCCCTGCGTGTGCGCTTCTCCCCCACTCGTTCCGCGTCTGGAGGCGGATCCCCTTCCCTGCACACAAGTCCTTATATGCACCGGTTGCACCAGCCCGCCTTACTCCAGCCCCACAAATAATTAATGGGGAGGGAGGGCGTCGTTCTTTTTTTTCTCAGGCTTCTTTTTCAGCGCTAGAGCATTCGAACCCCTCCGAGAACCCCCAAAATGCGGCTGAAGGGCCATTTTGCTGCAGTGCATAAATCGGACACACAAAAATAGAGCTTGAGTCCTTGTGATAAGCACGCCTAGGTTCAGGAACAGCTCTTCCGATCCATCCCCATTAGCCCGCAGAAGCTTGGGCGGAAAGGGCGCGCGCCCCTCCCCCAATCCACGCTAGTGCAGAGGGACGGGGTCAGGAAGCGTGGCCTCTCCCCAGTCGGAGACCACGCCTCCTCCGCCTCCCCCCGCTTTTACTCCTCCCAGGAAGCGGTGATAGACAGTTCTGTGTGGTTCTCCACCCCCACCCCCCCAGCTGAGTGGAGGAGTTGATGTGTCTCATTATAACAGCCAATGCAGCCGCCATCCACGCACAAGCAAAGAAGCATGTCCCATTTAAATACACCCACGCAGCCCCAGCGCCCTTAGCCGATCAGGGCGCGCAGCCCACACGCACCGCGGCTCCGGGCTTGGAGATCTGTGCAGGTTGGGCTCCCGGACGGCGGACAGACGCGCGGAGGATCGTGCTCAGGCTCTGTGGGGCTGGGGTGGGCGGGGGAGGTTTGGCCCGGGGCCTCTGGCGCGACACCCGCATGAGGACGCGAGTGAAATAGAACAAGGTGGAATTTCCAAGGGAGAAGCTTCGGGGTGGTTTTGGTCCATTTCTCCGGCGAAGAAGTAGACATGGCGAGCGACTCCCCGGCTCGCAGCCTGGATGAAATCGATCTCTCGGCTCTGAGGGTGAGCAGAAACGTGCTTTCTGATTTCTTTCCAGTGGTTTGGGGCAGGGAGAGTGGGATCGGTGAGTGGACTGGGGCTGGGGCTGGTGGGCAGCAGCGGAAGAATGCAACCCCGAGGGAACCTGCATTCGGATTTTGATTCGGGGGTTGCTGAGGTGCTCCTGGCTGAGCCCCTATGGCAGGGGCTGTGCAGTACGTTTTCTCCTCTGGCTGTGGCCGATGCTCCCCGAGAGCTCGGGAAGCTTATGCCAATTTCAAATTAGACCGGTGTAAGAGCATTAAAATGAAAGGCTCGTGGTGTGTGTGTGTGTGTGTATACACGCCCTGGGCAGCCGTCTCTTGCTAAGGCGGGAGACCCAACTGTCCCTTTCGGCAAAATGAATAACCGCGTGAATAAAGCCACTGGCCCCTCAGGTTTTCCAGCTACCTGCAAGATGACATTGTGAGCCTCCCGTCCCCGCCAAGCCGAACCCACCGCTCCAAGGGGGTAGTTTTTGCTATGCGGGTCTTGTAGATGGCAACTGCGTCCCCCTCCCCCTTTTCTGCCTCCCACCCTGGCTCCCTCTCAGCGCTCGCTGAAATGCCAGTCTGCCACTCACCTTTATTTATGGTTTTAACTCAGCCCTGCCTGTGCTTTCCGACTTTGTGACTGTGACATTTTAGTTTTATGGCTGAACTTAAGCAGGTGAAAGGGATGTGTTTTCAGTTCTCTCCCAATCAGACCGGAACTCCCTGGAGTGTGTGAGTGTGTGTGTGTGTGTGTGTGTGTGTGTGTTTTCCCCGTGTCTGTGGCCATTCTTTGGTAGAGCACCTCCCTTCCCCCTGCCCCGCTGCTTCGCGTTTACCTTCACGTGAATTACCTCAGACGCTTTTCATTGTATTGACTAAGACATCACTGATACAGAATCCATTTTGCTGTTGTTTTGAGATCAGAACACCAGGAATCCCAGTGCAGCCTCCACATTTCCCCACCCCCAACCCCGGATCCCAACACACTCCTTCGGGGAAGGGGGCTGTGCTTTCTTGCCATTTTAATTAGATGTTGCCTGCTAGGAAGGGGGTGAGGGGTGGCGGTGGTGGGAGCAGCCGGAATCTGAGAAATATTGAACACCAATCTGGGGACGGTGTCTTCCTCTCATGAACCAAAAAAATAAAATTAAAAAGAAAATAGCAAGTGCATGTACTTGATGTATAGAGTGTGGGTGAAACCCAGTCCATGGTGGCTCTGTGGTCGCTGAGACAGGCAGTAGGGGTGGAAGTTCACTTGCCCTCCGGAGGAATACATTGTTAGATTGATGCTGAATCTTGGGGCCATTTACCTGAATGTCTAATGTTTCTTCTGACATTACCTCTCCCTGGATATTTGAAAGAGCTACCTCTCTAATCAAAGTGTTACTTTTTCTTTAGTCTCCATAAACCTCTTCCCCGACCTCTTTTTCTAGTCCTTTTCCCCTTCCCCTTAATCGGTTGGTCCAGGAGTTGAGGTTTTAGCAAGGCAGTGCTGGAGTTGAGAAGAAACAGGATGTCATTTGACATGGGCTGTTCTGATAGTTGTGTTGCCAAAGCTCATTCATGCATTATTACAGTAAGCCGGCTGTTTTCTTGGTGCCGGAATACCACATCCAGAACCCTTGCCCTCTGGGCAGCTAGGAGTGGGGTTGGTAACAGGGTGGGTGCTTTGGACCAGTTTGTGGCTTCCTGCTTTAGGGACTGTGTGTGTTCACTTGCCCTACTTTCTGGATGGGAGTTGCTGCTGGCGGGTTGATGTTAATCGGGTGGATGGATGACTGGGACTTGGGGAGGAGGGGAGTGGCAAAGGGGAAGGGGGTCTGAACAATGAGCAAGGTTTGCAGTGATTCCCCTGAGCTGCAATCTGGACATTATTCCTAAATGGAAAGCACTCTGATGTGATTTTAAGTTGAGCTGGGACTTGTCTCTTGTGGGCTTTCTGTTGGCTGAGGTTTTCTGAGACACCAGACACAGTGCCTGCCTGTAGGCTTAAGAGTAACCATGAAGACTCCTGGGCCCACCTTGAAGGCATTTCTCATTGGGAAAACCTGTACCCTGGTAATCTGTATTTTGAAAAGATATCTTTGCATGATTCACGGAAATTGTTCTTTGTGGCCTGAGCTGCTGGCTTAGTTCTCTGCCTGCCTGGAGATGTACTAAGAGGGAAGGCAGTTTATCCCAGTGACTGCTGGCAGGAAGACTTAAATGATGGTGTGCAGACATTTGCTCCCCGCAGGGATGGGGTCTTCCACCAGCCTTGTGTGCAGGTCAGTGTGGCTCCAAAGGCCAGAGGTGATTTCCACAAATCAGAGGGTGATCATCTCTGCCTCCTCAAATTTGGAGAGGTGGGCTCATGTAGATGAGAAGTCTGATTTGTCCCTTAGCCCTCCATAAGGCCTGCCTGCTGAGTACCTCCTGGGGAGTGAGTGCCTGACCCCTGAAATGCAGCCAAGGTCAGTGGCTTCTAGGAGAATTTGCTGCGGCCTTACCAGTCCCTTGCTGTTTCGGTGGCTCTTTAATGTACACAATCAATGCTCTTTTTGTAAATCCTGGGCTCAATGCATTAAAAAAGAGATCCTGTCTGGAGAGGCCTTATCTTTCTCACTTTGGGGGCTTATTGTTCTCAGCCAGTGATCCTAGACTGGACCCAGTCTAAATTTTCCCCAAATAGGAACAATGCATAATTCAAACCAGAACAACCAGTGACAGTACTGATCATTTAAATTATGCAAGATTTGGATGGGTTTTAAAAGTAAAACGAAGCCGGGTCTTTTTTGGTTAGAAAATAATCAGAATTCAATTTTAGTCTTGATTTTTAGAACTCATGAAACTGAATCTTGGGGGTGGAGATATTTTCACAGATTTAGAACTGAAAGAAAATTGTAGATTGCTCTGCCACACCTTACATTTAACACACGGGAAGGAGAAACCCAGAGAGGTGAAGTCTGTTGCTCTATGTCCACAGCCACAGGGGTTGGGGGGATGGGGATTAGGGGAGGTAAGAAGAATGGTTTGAGGAGAGATTCTAGGTTTTCTGACTCTTTATTCAGTGCTCTTTGCTCTAAGTCACGTTGTCTGTGGCTGAATCAGAAATCAATAATACATTTTCTGCCTGAGCACCAAAAAAATGGCAGAGAGGAATAATTTCAGTGGGGTGATGGAATTTTATTTATGCAGAAGGGAAACTGCTTCATGCAAGTAAATTGGTAATACAGATAACCATGGAGCTTTAATGCACCTCTGAAATTCATTTTGTCCCCCTCCTCTCCGTGCTTCCTTTGCAGGCAGATGACTGAATGATACAAGGCAGATGGCTGTCCTGCACGGGTAGCCTCTCCTAGTAACCCATCTCCATCTGAACATGTCCCAAGGGGTCAGTCTAGACACACACATTATTCAGATGTCTACACGAGAGGTTTATGGAGTCTGTGGATGTTTTGTACAATCTATGTGGATACGGATATTATATATAGTATTATGGATATAAACTCTATCCATGTGGGTGTATGGAAATGTGTGTATACATACATAGGCTACAGCAAACAATTTACTCATTCAAACCTGGGCCTTGAGTCATTCTTGCTTCAAGACATCATGATATTAAAAGATGAAACTTGCCACCAGGATGCTTTATTGCACATGAGGTGAGCTCAGCCCAGAAAGCTTTTTGAAGATTAAAATATTTCTGAACCTGAGCATCTTGGCTGTCTTTAGCTTGGCCCATGGGGTAAGGCATTCAAGGCCAGGATTTGGCCACTGCTGATCTCATACTCTTGGCTTCTGCCAGGGCTCACACATACTTTTCTATTTGAATGGAATTAGATGACCTACACTTGTCTTTCCCCGAACCCCTCACTTCTTTTTGGGCCTAACTGTTCCTTTCTCCATCAAAACCCAGATTTAAGCATTGACCATATCTGGAATCTTGCACACATTCTTAACTACACTTTTTATGCTTGTGTTATCAATGGTGTGACGTTTTCTTTCTGTCTCCTCACCAGACTGTGGGCTTGCTTATGGCCCACGGGGTCATCTTTGAGTGCCAAGTCCCCGTTAGTTAGATAAATGAATGAATGTGGGAATGAATGTATAAGCGAGTGGAGTAGAATGAGCACTAGCTTTGGGTTCTGTGTCCACATCTTCTTAGTCAACCTAAAAATGGAAATGATCACAACTGCTTGCCTTCCTTGTGCACTGGTTTCAAAATATCAAATATTCATGGCAATGCTTTCAAAAGCCCAGCACACCATACAAATGTGCTATTCCATGTTAGGTAGAACTTTTTGGGGGAACTTGATTCCACCAACATTTGATCCTGGTGATTGCACCTAATAGAAAATGATCCTGGGAAAAAGGTATCAGAAGGGGCCTCTTTTCAGTAGCACCTCAGTAGACCTTGGTTGCCTGTTCCGTTTTATGTGCCAATCTGACCTTGTATGTTTCTCTGATGTCCTCAGTTGAGCTTAGCCTTGGGTATCAGCATTCATTGCATGTGAGGTAAGCTTGGCTCAGAAGCTTTTTGGAGATTACCATATTTCTGAGCTAGTATCAACTATCGGGCATTATTCATTCAAATCTTCTTCTGTCTTTCTTTTTTTTTTTTCTCTTTGTAGGTGATCTGTTATTCAAGTGCAAGCAATTTTATTAAATGCCTGGGCCTTTTCAAAGTGTTTCTTTTCTTTTTCTAGGAGGATGAGGTGGACACCTAAAATGATAACACTAATAGCCCAGTACTTAAAGCCTGGTCAGAGGTCTCCTGGGTCTTAAAGAAATCTTGAAACATTATTAATTCATTACCCCAGAGCACTTAATTAAATTTGGTCTAAAATGAGATTTCAGTAAAGTTACACAAATTGATGAGATAACGGTATCTTCAGACAACAACAGCATGGCAGTTTTTCTTTAGATGTATTTGTTGTTTTTCAGAGGTATTAAACAGGTGTTTTCTTTGCAATGAAACTGCCTTGAAATAAAATAGGGGTGTATCAGTAG